CTGCCAGGGTCCCAGTGACCTTCACACTGGTGAGCGATGCATTTGCACTGGCCTGTACCAGCACGGCACTCCTGCCCCCAGTGTTTGGGGGGGTCCGTCCTGCCAGGTCTCCTAAAGCGGGTCAGCTGCGGTTGGGCGTCACGAAGTGAGACGCACTGTGCATCAGCGGTCTGCCAGTTCAAGGGTGTGAGACATGGAAACCTGAACTTCAAATCCCATGCCTACCTCAGCAGATATATCTCCTAAGAGCTGATGCTTTGTTCCCCCCAGGAGCTCTGAGGTATTTAGAGAAGACAGGTACAGGATGAGTGTGCGTGTTGGAAGAACTTTTACTGGTTTGGGCAGGAGAGAGTGCAGTGCCACATCGCTGAAGCCGATGGTTAGGACAACCATCTGCAATGGTGGGTACTTGGGATCCATATCCTTCTTGTAATGGGGAGTGATATACAATCCTGGGAATGACTGAATCTCCCAGGGCGTTTTTAAAATGCCAGCTTTAATGGTTTAAACTTTAATGGTAGAACTCTTCAGGAAGTCTGGAAGCTGGGCATTTTAAAGAACTACGGAGAATTTAAAGAAAAAAAAATACAGAAGCATAACTGGGTCTTAAAGGCAGGAAACTTGAGATTTTTTGCTCTCAACTTATGTCCCTCATGTGGTGGGTTGACCCTGGCTGGATGCCAGGCACCCACCACAGCTGATCTACTACTCCCTCCCCTCAGCTGAACAGGGGAGAGAAAATATAATGAAAGGCTCGTGGGTCGAGATAAGGACAGGGAGAGATCACTCGCCAATTACCATCATGGGCAAAACAGACTTCGGGGAAAAAAACAAAATCAGTTTAATTTGTTACCAATCAAATCAGAGCAGGATAATGAGAAGTAAAACCAAATCTTAGAACACCTTCCCCACACCCCTCCCTTCTTCCCAGGCTTAACTTTACTCCAAATTTTCTCTCCCTTCTCCCGCCAGTGGCGCAGGGGGACGGGGAATGGGGGTTGGGGGTCAGTTCATCACATGTTGTCTCTGCCGCTCCTTCCTCCCCAGGGGGAGGAGGACTCCTCACTCTTCCCCTGCTCCAGTGTGGGGTCCCTCCCATGGGAGACAGTCCTTCATGAACTTCTCCAACCTGGGTCCTTCCCATGGGCTGCAGTTCTTCACAAACTGCTCCAGCATGGGTCCCTTCCACGGGCTGCAGTCCTTCAGGCACAGACTGCTCCAGTGTGGGTCCCCTGCGGGGTCACAAGTCCTGCCAGAAAACCTGTTCCAGCGTGGGCTCCTCTCTCCATGGGTCTACAGGTCCTGCCTGGAGCCTGCTCCAGCGCGGGCTTCCCACGGGGTCACAGCCTCCTTTGGGCATCCCCCTGCTCCGGCGTGGGGTCCTCCCCGGGCTGCAGGGGGACAGCCTGCCTCACCGTGGTCTTCCCCACGGGCTGCAGGGGAATCTCTGCTCCGGCACCTGGAGCATCTCCTCCCCCTCCTTCTTCACTGACCTGGGGGTCTGCAGGGTTCTTTCTCTCACATGTTCTCACTCCTCTCTCTGGCTGCAGTTTCTGTGCCTGCTGCAACTTTTTTCCCTTCTTAAATCTGTTTTCCCAGAGGCGCTACCACCGTCACTGATGGGCTTGGCCTTGGCCAGCAGCGGGTCCAACTTGGGGGCAGCTGGCATTGGCTCTGTCGGACACGGGGGGAAGAAGCCCCTCTGTAGCCCCCCTGCTACCAAAACCTTGCCACACAAACCCAATACACCCTGGTAGGGTCCTAGTTGAACTCTCTGCCCTCACATTGCCTCAGGTGCAAACTAGGAGCGATACATTGTACTTAACAGGCATTCTTCAAAGCATAATTCATGTTTGTGAAATACTGGGAGTGGCCAAGCCAAAATCTTTTAGAAGTACCAGGTTATGGCAGTGGCACCAGAACTGTTTGGCAAGTGGATCCTTAAAGAGACGCTCAAGGAAGAAGGATTCTTTTTAAAAGGATGTGATGGCAAAGCTAGTCCACTGGGATATGGAAGAGGTGAAGTAGTTATGTGGAAGAGAGGTAATGTTGCATGATTCCTGTCCCATGGATATGAACCAATTTGGGCTAGCGGACTGTCTCAGGGACAATGGATGCATTGGAGGGGGGTGGAGGGAGGGCTACAGACACCATCTCGCATTCAATATACTCCACAAAAGGAAGCAGTGAAAGAGGGTTGAGTGTATATAATACAGTGCGGTGGATGAACAATAGGTTATAGCTGAGGAGACAAAGGTTTATTATCAAACGTAGTCCATCATCTGGGTCTGAAAGTGAACGCATCATGCAAGGTGACACCGAGTGTTGGCAGTGGCGTGAGGAACACGCGTTCCTGAACTTTGTTCGTTTTACGTGGACAGGTATCTGTATTGCTTATCTACAGTTACGAAACTAGGTAGCAGAGAAATCAAGGATTAAACAATGAAAACACAGTATTTTGTTTCTGCAGATGATATTTTCAGCTCAAAATCAATACATTTCAGTGGGCTGTAGGATTGAAGAAGGTTAATCTTCTGTTGCCGCAGCCCATATTATGTCTCTCCACTAAACACATGCTGCACTTGGATTTGCAGCGTGCACAGCTATTAGATTTTTTTTGGAGAAGTACTTGATTTCCAGTGTTGCTGGTGATTAAAAAATTCCCAACTTTATACGCATGTCCTACTCAAGCCTTTCCTTGGTTTGCATGATGAGAGGATCTGGAGCTCCCCATAGTAATCGCTTCTGAGAACTCTAAATGGGGAATGGCAACAAAAAGAGGCATTTTGAGATTTTAACAAGAGACTTGCCTGTTAATCCATATTAGGTAAAAGTGAAAAATCCCTGTATAAGGTACTAGAAGTTTGTAATGCCATTTGCCATGTTTCTTATTCTTCTTAAGGGGAATTGAACAGACCTTCTCATAAAGAACAGCATGTGTCTGTGTGGCACGCTAATTTTACAATCTGTAGACTCAACTAGTTAATATGCCAACTACTGTCTTGCTTTAGGTTCTGTTTAGCTTCCATTGCTACACTTGTCTGGAGTGATTTGTTGTTGAGAAATTTGGGACTTTAATCCCTGAAGCAGAAGGACAGGTTGCTGACGCCCATGGTTTATTTAAGAAACAAGAAGGAGTGTATAGCTGTTGCACAGTGTGGTGACCTAAAATGCCTGGATGACTCAGTTTCAAAGCTAGGACTTGTGTTTCAAAGCTGACTTGTGTTTGCAGGTTCCTGTCCTTCTCATAGAAACTGTAGTCAAAAGCGTGCAATTGCAGGATGAGAGACACGCAAATCAAAATTTGTGCTTGCTTGCTTATTTATTGTGGCACTTAATGGTACCAGTTCCATCCCTTTCTCTCAGCCTGCTGCTGTCGGGTTCGCTTGCACCTATAAGCTCTGCAGAGCAGGGACGATTGGCTCTTCTGTGGTTGTTCAGTGCCTGGGTGAGTTGGATGCCCCTTCCTCACGAGTGCTGAGGTGCCTTGTGTTAGCAGGGGCTGAGAGTGAGAGCCAGCTAGCTGCTGCTGTCAAGGCTTGAGTCTAAAACAGAGACCCCCAAGCCCCTGCTTACTGGGGAGCACGCCGGGAGCAAGGAGGGTTACGTAAATACCTGCTTCCAGAGTTGCCCAAACACACTGCTTTAACACACGCTTAAGATTTATGCGTGGGATGGGTCTGGGAATGTCTGCCCCAGCCCCTCCAGTCCTGCTGGTTTTCCTTCCCAACGTTGCCGCTGATGGAAAACCGATTACTCTGTGCTGTGCAACAGCTTCAACCGAGAGCACCTCACCCAGCACACCTCTGTGCCATGCTGTTAAGACACTTCGCTGGCGCAAGCCCTTTCACGCAGAGGAGGGAAAACCAAGCTCCCGAGTTCCTGAGTGAGTGCCAAAATAGCATGTGGGCTTGGAGGGGTACCACGACCCCTGCAAGGGGATGGAGCAGGCACCTAACAAAAGGCTCAGGATTGGGAATTCCATGCAAGGCATCTTGCCTCACCCCAGCGTTAGGGTCCGCTGCTGTTTGAGGTGTCTTGAGAGACTTATCGGCGTGTCCAACGGGTTCCTGGAGTTCTTCACTTAACAGGATGGACGGCGTAGATCCTGTTCCTATGTATTCTACTTTTTGCCTTCAAGTGGCAGGGTGTCTTCATTTGGGGCTGTGGATTTAGGCAAAGACACACTGCAGTGCTCAGCAGCGCAACAGCCAGGCCCTTTATATTGAATCTGGCCTCACTGCAATAAGTGTGAGTAATGGTAAGAGAGGCATGAGAGCAGAATGACTGTACAGGAGGGAGGGCTGCACTTGACTTGCTAGAATGAAAAACATATTTGTAAAGGGATAAAATTAGCGCTGGGTACAAGAATGCCATTTAATGAAACAAATGACTACACCTCTTCTCAGTGGCAGGAAAAAAGTGACACATCACAGATAATCAGCTGTCCCCCATCCTACTCTCGGGGTTGCTGCAGAGTAGACGGCACCGCCGGCTGGGCTGGCCAGGCTGGGGTGAGGAGTAGGTCCCAGTGCTGAAACCCCCATGCCACATGCCTCGCTGTACGTACAGCGAGTCACTGACTTTGGTTCTCGCTGGTGGGCTTGTAGGAAGAGGTGTAAGTCTTCCTCAGGTACCGGGAGAGCTGGGCAGGAGGGAGGATGTACGTGTGAGACACGGGAACATGGGCTCTCTGAGACGTGTGATTGCTCGCGAGGTACTTGTGGCAGCAAAATCACAGGAAAAGTTAATAATAAAAATCAAATGTCTCTTCTTATTGGATGCTCTTTTATCCCCTATTCGTTGTATTTTATTTCTCCTCTCTGCTATTTTTTTGCTTTCTTCATGTCTCCTTTTGATGTCTTCCTCTCCGTAGTTCCACATCCTTATTTTTTGTCCATTTTTATTTACTGTTGCTTTTTTACTCATGCATGTCTTTACTCCTTTAGCTTTCCTAAATACTTTCTCTTTTGTCTCTCTTGTCCATCTCTGCCATACAGTTTGGCCACCTTCCATGCGATGGAGCAATGTAGCCGAGTTGTGGGTTGACTTAGGCTTGCATCACCCCCCTGAACCAGATTGCATCTGCAGTCATCTGGAACTGACTACATGCCAGAACTGATAAAAGATGCTGTGGAAACGTGGATCTCCGGGGCCTCGGCAAGGTATCCTCACATACATGTGTGTGCACGTTGATGTGCGAGTACCTTCAAAATGCCTGTCTGTTCCATCAGCTCAGCTGACTGGGTGCTCCTTTGGGCTTTGCAGCAGCTTAAGGGAAATGGGAACAGACCTGCAAAGCTCGTGGGAAGAGCGGGATTAACCCTAAAGAGGGGGATATGCCCATTGCCCAGGAATGTGTGATGACCGTAAGCAAGAGATCCGAAACCCCTCACTTGACCTTTGTATAATTCTTTCCCTTCCAGTGAGTCCCTTTCCCTGCCGGTGACTCATCTTCTTCTAAATGTAGACTGTAAGCCTCTCAGAGGACTGCCTTTCTCTCTGAACAGAGTAGCATAAAAAATAGCAACGCTGGTGAATAACCAGTATGATTTTTTAACACAAAAAACCTCAGGACTGCCTCGCTGTATCTGTGCTTCTCTGTCAAGCGATTTAGCAGCTCCCTGAGAGAACAGCGAAGCAGGTTCTGTCCTGACCCGCAACAAGAAGGTTGTTCAGACAAGAGGTCTCAGGAGTAGCACAACTGCAGTACAGTGGGCAGCAGACTTTTATAATAAAGGATAGGTAGGCTCTGACGAAGGCCAACGAATCTTTCATAGCACCCACGTACTTACTTCCATGTTTCTGACCCATTTGTAACTGGCAGCATCCCCGCGGCAACTGCAGCGTGGCTTGCATGGACATCCAGTCAGAAGTTGCCTGCTCCCTTCGGCAGGTTGCCCAACACCCGTCTCCTTTCCTCTGGTCTCTACAGATGGTGTCCGGCTGCCCAGTCCACTTCTGTTCTTGAGACTTGGTGACCCTGGTGACCACACTGTCACCTTCCATCCCTCACTTCAGCTCTTGTCTTTGACTTGTAGCAGATCTCTTACTAGAGCCAAACTGGTTCCTTTTCTCTTTTCAGATGCTTTTGCCGTAGCCCGTCTCTTTATTGCCTGGTCCTCTGGAAGACAAAAGAGTGAGAATCAGGCGTGTGTCGTTATCCTGTGAACAGTTTGAGAACTGCTTTGACAGCCGATAGAAGAAGATAGCGTGATGTGGCCACCGCAAGCACACGCTCTTTCTAACAATTTACGGTTGCGCTATGATCCCAATGAGGAGCGATGCTTGAACCTCCCTCTGATTATGTGTTCTTTTCTCGTACTGTAACAATATTGTTTCTTTCCAGCACACAAGCATTCATGCAAAAATGCCAAAATTCTCCGTGCAGATTAAAGTATGTTTACAAATTAAGGAAAGGCTGGTGTGGAACAAAAGGAAAAATTAAATTATCCTAGCAATTTTGCACTTCCTTGTAATCAAAGTCCTGTCTTTGGAAGGTGTTATGTAGGATACACACTTGGTGAGGCCTGTGAGAATTTTCCTTGTGTCAAGACAGCAGGAGTTAGCCCTAGCAAATCACACGCTTCTAAAAATGGTGGCCAGTAAGCAATAGGTGGGCTTTCCTGGGGAAGAGCAGGAAGAAAACTTGGTGAGAGCTTGATCCTCTGCGGTGTCACCTTTCACAACCGACTGACTGACAAACGAAAGAAAAGGGGAGCTAGATCCCCGTGAGGATGGGCGCCTCCTGTTGTGTAATAGAATGAAATCCAGTGATGTGCTCTCTCCCACTAGATCTGATACAACTGCTCTATGATAAAGATTAATTTCTAAAAATCAAGTGTAAACCTATAGGTCAGCCAGTAAGACAGTGACTTGACAAATTTTTCATTGCAAGGTGTGCGATAGTTTCGTGCCTTTAATCTGCATCGCTGCAGACGGTGTATTGTTGAATCCAGTGAAGTTTGAATCCCACTATGAATTTGTTTTCCACAAGTAGATTATGAACAGAAATCTTTGATTTCTATTAATTATGTATCTCAGTGAAAAGCTTGTGTGTGTGTGTATATATATATTTAATAACGGTAAATGTAACAAACATTTATTTTTATTAAATTAATAAAAGAGATAAACCTATCAAAGCATGTTTTCATTTTATTTCTTTGGTCTTGTTTCCATTAGTACAAATGAAAGATCATTCAGTGCAAGCTCATGTATCTCAGATTGCACAGTCCATTGCATCAGGTAGTTGCTCTAGTACAAAAGCGTCTTATTTCTAAATAAGAGCTTTGGGGTTGCGAGAGCCTTTGTAACGCTGTGTCCACATGCCACCATAATCTGATCGGGACCTCAGGGTGCAGCGCTCAGGGTACGGCTTACCTGTTGCATTTAGGGTAGCACCTCATACAAGATCTTCCCAAACTCTGAAAAGTATCATCCCTGCATTAAGGAGCTCATGCCTTACGATAGACGAGGAGGCAGAGGTTAGGGAACATGGAACGGGACAAGGAAAGAGAAATTAAATAGAGCTTTCAAACCCACTCAGCTCACAGTAAGCAGTTTTTAGGAGTGGGATCTGGAGGAGGAAGCTGGATCTGAAGCGTGCCGTAGCAGAGGCAAGGAGGGCACGGAAAGCCGGAGGGTCCCCGAAACCCGGCTGGTGGCAAAGCTACGGGGCGAACGTGGGCCGGCGTGGCTGTGGGAGCAGCTGGAGATCCAGCGAGTGGGTGAAGGATGGAGCAACCCAACAAGACGGGTGGGCGAGGAAGGTCAACCCGGTGACTGCTTCGGGTTCGGCGGGGATTGCCGGTGGGCGGCGGGGAAGGCCGAAGTCGGCCGTCGAGGTGCCAGAGCGGCAGGGGAAGAGGAGGAAATCTGAAGCAGAGTGGTGCTTTGGTAGAGCTTGGAGGTCTTCAGTGGGGTGGGGGGTGGATGCGGGCATGAGCTGTTTCCCAAGGCAGGGGGAGAAAGGAGAGGCAAGGTGAGACAACGACCCTCCCTGCTGCCTGTCATTAACGACCCGGGTGGACGTGGATCTCAAAAAATCCTCGGCCAGAGGGGGTTCCTTGCTGCTAGCGGCGAGGTCGCTGTCAAATAAAGCGTATAAAGGGGCTCCGCGGGGGGGGAACCCAGGGACGTAGTCGGGTTGCGAGGCGGAGCCTGAGCCATTTTATGAATGGGCTCATATGACGTTAGTAGGGGCGGGAAGAGAGGCCGCGGCTCCCACCAATCCCGCGAGACCCCCGGCCGGCGGAGCCAATCGGAAGACGGCCTCCGGCTGACGGCCGTCCTCGCCGGCCAATGGCGGCAAGAGAGCGGGGCCGACCACGTGGGGCGCTCGGCGGCAAGTAGTACGGGGGCGTGTGGCCGCTCGCTCCCTGCTCCCCCCCTCCTCCTCCCTCCTCCCTCCTCCCCCTCCTTTCCGCCGCGG